TCAATGCCGTATATTTTACATATTTAATTATACTATTCACTTTATATATAAACATATTAAATTCAAATTATACTTATACTATACAGGTATATTTTATATATTAATATAATATAATATAATATATTATGTGATATTTCATATCAATTTTGACATAGACTCTAAAGCAGATATGGATATTTGCTGTTAGAGACTTTTCTTAAAATAAAAAGCTATATATAGAATTTATAAAGTCGTTATAACTGTAATTAATATTAACCAATATTAATAAATGCTTTAGAATATTTTTATTGTTAGCTTTTGTTAAATAATGTAGTAAACTAATGTTAACGAATGGAACCATATTGTAAAGTGTTACCCATATCGCCTACTTCAAACTGTGTCACATGACCCGAAAACTTCAAGCTGAACAGTGTCTCTCTCTTTACTGATAATCAGTGACACTTCAATCATCAACATTTCCACTGCAACTTCCTGTCAACCGTAATCCCCTGCCTCAGGTTTGAAGCTACCTTTAACCCTGACCCCTTTACCTCGTACACACACACACACACACACACACGTAGAAACACACATGTGCATATGTTCACACATGCACAAACACACACACAGCCCAAGGTGATTACTTTGCTCTCATCAGTCTGTGCTACAAACTAGCAAAAATGCACTTGATGGAACAAACCTGTTTGAGCGGGTCATTGAGGAGCGAGGTGCACTACAGCACAACATGAAGGAAGTGTGGAGAGAAAGATAAGCCTATAACAGTCATACATGTTTGTTTAAGAACAAATTAAGTAAAGAAAAGAATGTGATGATGTGTGATTTATTTTTTTAAAATACACATATAGGACAAATCATCACTCTGCTTTATATTGGACCTTGTGCTTATTAAGTTGAAATAAACATTGTGTAATAGATAATGATGACTGATGTCCTTTTTTAAGGCACAACCGAAGTAAATTACACTTGTATTGACGTTTTTATTGTCTTAAAATTGACCCTGGACTATAAAATGGCTAAGTACGTTTTTCATAGACTTTTTGCCTCTGTAACAAGACCCTTTCCACTGTCTTTTAAGTGTCTCATTTCTCTCCCTGGTTCCATATGTAAGTCAGTATATCATGACCATGCATTTGGCCACTAGCAAGGGTCTTGATTCATAAAACATGAATGCTGATGACTGAATTCCTGCAACACAATTGCAAGGTGTCAGTATATGTAGATGTTCAAAATACAGTGCTATGAAGAAATATACACACGTCCTGCAATGTTCAACATGCATACTTGATAAACGAACACTCACTTGAGCACATTTGAGCTCCCGTTTACCATTTGAAATGTTGATTATGTAGACTTGCATAGGGCAAAAAATGACAAGAGAATATAAAAAATGTCTTCATTTGTGTTGTGAAGATGAATGAAGACTTATGGGTCTGCAGCGTCATGATGGTGGGTAAACTATGACAGAATTTTCATTTTTGGATAAGCTATCGCTTTAAACTTTTATAATTCTGTAATAACTTAAATACCTGTATCAGATTGCAAGAGGAACAGGTTTCTCTTTTATGCATATTATGAATTAAATTTAATAGCAAACTGACTCTTGAGATTTCAGAAGACATGACAGCATTTCTGATAATTAATAGTGTGCATGGTAAGGGTTTTTGTGTTGCATTCTGGGAATTTCTATGGAGTGAAAATCTGTGCACTGAAACAATATTGTCTATGGCCGAATCCATTATTATTTCTTACTATTGAATGAGGGAGCTGTTTGAGACACACCTTCACAAAAAAAAATCTCAAAAATATCTTTATTTACAACTTTGAAATATATATATATATATATACAACTTCAATTTTCATATTTAATTTAATGTGTTACTTGCTATTTCTTTGAATTATTTGTGAAATTTACTAGCGATTTTTTAAATGAAAATCATTTCAGAGTAAATCCTACACCATTTTTTTTATTATTATTATTATTATTATTATTATTATAGTTTTTTTTGTTTGTTTTTTTGTCTCTAGCAAATCATCAAACAGAAATCATGATATCAGACCTCCAAAATTAATGACAGCTTTATTAAATGTTATTAAATATGCAAACGCACACACACACATACAATAAAAATTACAGAATGTTTGGGTGAAAAAGGGATTCTCATTAAATATCTATTTATATAGTCTTCTCTGAACGAAACAAAAGAATACAAAATAACTACTCACCAAATAAAATTCAGTATGTACACCAGAAAAATAGTGTTTTTTTATATCAAAGAAGGAATATATTTTCAGTATTTGTTGTTAGCCAAACACAGAAAAAAAAAAACTATACAAATAAGATCTACGCAAAAGGCAACAGCGGTTGGAAATGGAGCTTATGACATGCAGGATAGAGGCTATGATGATGTATTTGTGGGCCATCAGTCAGCTGTAGGCATGTGCAAAGCTCCCGCGGGCTTCGACATGTCCCGCAGATTTTCGTTTGAGTTTTTTACGCAGGTTTTACTAGTGCGAGTTTGATTTATTAATTGCTTTGCGTCCCTGACAGATTAAGTGGTTTTTCTTACAGTAATAAAACCAGCCTGCACTTAGTGGTGTCATACTGCGCCACACCATGGTGGGGGAAAAGGGTTCAACGTTTTTTTCACTCAAAGGGAATGAAATGGGACGAAACGTACAATAGCTAGCATGATCCATCTGTTCATGTATTTCATATATCATGGGTTTCAGCCTCAAAGAATAGCACTAAACGGCCGTGCATAGGTTATACACACACAAAAAGGTGATTTGAAGAAAGGATTCGGTTGAAATACAATGAAGTTGAAGCATGCCACGCATAAAGCGAACAAAATAAACACATTTTCTCTGCAAACAGGAACAGAGAAAACACATTGTCGTTTGGCAGAGAGTGGGCACTTTGGAAGGTTTACTTAAATCAATATTACCTTTAATGTTTTCTCAAAATTTATGCTCTTTTTCTATACTAAGCTGACAGATTCTTTATCCATTGAGATGTTGAATGGATAAAGCTAATCTTTAAACCAAACTGGACAATCCTGCTTTAAAAAGCGCATCATTTTCTCATGCAAAATCCAGAACTCTGTACATGTTTACACTGGTATTCATACTAACCCGTTCAATTAACTTTTAATGGCAGCAGCTTCACGGATGTTTAAAAAACGGGAATAAAATACCTCAAAGGGCACTTTAGCTTCTCAGATATATGTGTTTTGGCACAGAATCCCAAGCTACAGTACACAGGTGCACCGTAAACTACAGGCGCAATTAAACAGCTAATATTGACAGGGAAAGAGAGGAACGTACCCAGAAAAGAATTAACACTTTCTGTTTGTACGTGCGGTACTGGTGCGAGAAATCAGTCTGTGTGATTAAGTTTTATATGTTGGCGTATCTGGCAGCATGTTAATGCCTTTCAATATTTTATAAAATACATTTCAGAGAGGCAGCGGTATGACAGAAACATTTAAAGCAATGTTACAATGTTGATCACTGCATCGCCATGTATAGTGGAAAGTAATTTGACACTTAGGCCGACATGTCATTGCATTAGATAACAAAATCTCCAAACAAATTGGATTTTTAGTGGATGTATGAAGTCAGAGAAACCCCAGGTGAACTACTCAGCTAAAAGGGAACGTTCTTCCGGTAACGTTAATAGAACATTTGCTCAAAGTTATTTAGGCTAGGAATAGCTCACCCAAAAATGAAAATTCTGTCATCATTTAAACTCAACCTCAAGTTCTTCCAAACCTGTATGTTTACGTGACAATGATGTACTAAATACCGAAAACGTTTTTTCTTTTGTGTTTTTGAAAAGTTTCGCATACAGACGACAACATTGTCAAAATGATCCTCGTTCATGCGAACCTTGAGCCTGTTAATCATTCATTGTTATCGAACAATTATCGTTTTCAAAAACTTTGAACCGTTTGAAAAACGTTTGCATTTTAAGGCTACCAAAACGCTGTTGTCGTGTAAATCATCGGTCAAAACACATCATTTTTTTTATGTTTTTAGTTGAAAAAGGTGCTGCCTGAGATTCTTTGATGACCCACATTCTTCAAGATGTCTTATTTTATGTTCAAAAGAAGACATCTTGAAGAATGTGGGTACCCAAACAGTTGCTCGACACCATCGTCTTTTATAGTATGACAAAAAAAAAATGGGGGACCAGAAACTGCTTATGGGAAACTGGCTTCAACGTTCTTTAAAATAGGTTATTTTATGTTCAGCAGAAAAGAGAAAGTCATACAGGTTTGGAATGTCAATGATGACAGAGTTTTAATTTTTGGGTGAACTATCCCTTTAATAATGTTCTTACAACGTTAGCACAAAACATTATCCATACATTGTTCATGGAACTTTTTTTTTTTTTTTTTCTGAAACGTTTTAGTTGGACGTTCGTCTAATGTTATTTTAAATGTTACTACTTTGTTCAGAACGTTCAGAGGACATTCAAAAGTAACATTCCCAAAATGTTTGCACAATGATAAAATGGAACGTTCTCCTAACATTCAAATAACCAAGAAGAGATGTTTTTAAAGTCCCCATGAAATCAAAATTAAAGTTTTTTGGGTGTTAGTATCAATATGTTAGTCTGAAGGTTATGTTTAAGGCAGTGTGCTCCAAAACAGTGACAACATTTGCATTTAGAAGATACAAGCCTTCAAAGCTTGCAGTTCGTCACTTCCGCCAAAACGGCTCAACGATTTTTTTTGACGTCACATCGTACTTCAGCTTCTCATCAAACTTTCTGTCCAATCAAATGCTCTTTAGAAGCTGAAGCCCTGCCCCCTACACTATAAAATAGACGCTGAAATCTGAACGGCTCTAGCCCAAGCTGTGATATAAACAAATGCTATTGGATATTTTAAAAAGGGGTGGAGCTGCTTGATATGTCCCGCCCTGTCTTCATGTTTCAGTTAAAATGACGTCAACACATAGAGTAATGCTGCGTGTTTCTAAGCATTTCAGGGCACCTTTAAAGCATTTTAAAATCTGGACATTCAGAATGTTCAGAGAACATAGCTTAACTTAATGGGAACGTTAGCAAAACGTTCCTAGAACATGTTTTTGTTGGCCGGGTATGAACGTGATCCACAGTTTGACAACCAGAATGCGTCCAAATACAGTGTCCAGCTGTTTAATCTTTTAAAACCTAAAGAAGCTCATTTTTGTGAAATGATTCGCCTGAGAAGTGTGCTTATTCTCTCTGTTTTGGTTATGCAAGCCACTTGGTTTGATGTTTTGTTGTTTTGCAATGACATTCACACATATTTGTGTGTCTAAAGTACCGCTATACTTTTTGGGGCCACTGTCAACTCAAAATCAGGCTTGGGGAGCCGTTCAACTGCTCAAGTCCATGGAGCATCAAAGTCTTTCGGTAGCTGTCTTTGGTTGTGCATCAGCACGGCTGCGTTTAGCTAGTCGTCATTGCTTCTGACGGAGACAGAGGGGCCTGTTCTTGCGCTGGGGTTTCTGGACAGATGGACTCGGACGTAGCGGATGTACTGAGATCTTGAGGTTGAGATTGGAAGACCTCCTCTTCCGCGCCGGCTCGTAGCCTCTCCTCCTCCACTAGTTTGGCCGTCAGCCGTTCCTGGGCCTCGATCTCCTCTGTGCTTGGGATGGAGTTCTTCTTAGGTCGGCCTTTGGGCTTGGTAGGAGCCTCATGTCCTCCTTTTAGCACCTAGAGAAACATGGACACACATGAGCTGTGAAAAATGTGGGCCTAGTCAAAGGTGAGGATGGTAATTACAGTGATTAAGGGAAGATATATAGCCATATGGGCTGGCCGTTTGCGCCCCTTTATCTCAGAGGTGAACATTCTGTTGATCTTTTGTTCCTGCTTGAGAGGTTGATTGCGCTGACGTAGACCTGTACTGTCCTTTAAATCATCACTCGCGCAACCAGCAGCCGGGGGGTCTTCGCTGTTACACGCACTGATTGTATTGAGTGTTGAGGAGGGCAGCTCTAAACTGTCTAATGGATTTTTAATGATATGTCTCAGAGTTTCCATTTCCACACGCAAAGCATTTTCAACACAGATGTTGTATTGATACAAGATGACAGTATTCTAACGAACTAGGCTTGTAAGGGAGACAATCCTTGTGGCGTTAGCCTTGAGCGAGCTCTTCTGACTCACCATTTTCTTCCATTTCATGCGTCTGTTCTGGTACCATGTCTTCACCTGGAGCTGTGTGAGTCCCAGAGACTGAGCCAGGTCCAATCTGCACACACATACAATAAAAGCACGAGTTCAGAAAAAGTGCAGAAATCAAATGAAAGGTTATAAACCTAGTGAGTTGCCTACGCATGGAGTATTTTAAGGCATCATTTTAGGTGTGATCCTGACAAAAAGTGTTTCCAAAAGTAAGATTAGTATGCTACATTCTATGATACATATTTTGGCCAAATTCAAACAAACAAATAAATACAATTTTACGCAAAATGTGGGGAAATATATGAACCTTTAATTTTAGACTATTGTATTATTCTTAGTGCATCACCTCTATTAAATTCAATTGTGAGTCTTTCAAGGAGTGCTATTTCTATAACATGCATAGTTGCTGCCTAAATATCAAGTGCATGAAGTAAGTAATAATAATAAATAAATAAAATATATTAAATATATATATATATATAATTTTTTATTTTTTATTTTTAAGATATAGTTTAAATATATTTATTATAAGTATTTGTAGATTTTAGATATTTGTAATTTGTAGAAAGAATGGATAAAAATTAAGAAATAAAGAAAACTGTAATAAAAATTTTCATCAAAAATACGTAAATTGCATACATAACACGGATACCAAAAAATAAATAAATAAATAAATACAAAATGTCCCTGAGATTCAATCCCAGGGGGTTAATTTTGCTTAATAAATTGCATATTATTCATATGTGGAGCAAATATTATATATATTTATATGTGATCCCAAATCAGACACTTCTGAGGATCTTCTGAGGACTATTATGAAGCTATGTAGGCATAGTGACAGGTTTAGGAGCGGAGCCTACGAATGGCGTTCCGACCCGAAAAAACAAAAAAAAACAAAGCAAATGACAAGAATGACTGTAGGGATGGCAGGAAACTTCAGAACTGAAAGTAACTGACTGAAATCCCAAAGTCACCTGTTGTCTTAAGCATTAAACCAGTGGGTGGCCAGATGTATATCGAATCACTGCAAAATTCCCAAAGCTGGCATGACATATCCAAAGAGTTTGCCAAGCTGTGAACCGAAGCGTTTTCCCAGGCCGACTGTAACAGCAGACCTCCCGTGGAATAAGGTAATCCAGTCATGGAGCTCCTGACCTGCCCGAAGGCAACAGAGGTTCGTTTCGGAGCACTTCGGCAGGCAGCGCATGACTAATGCAACGATTGATCTGCTGTAACGTGATAGGCAAAGAGAGGACATGCGAGATGGGATTTGAGGGCAAGGGAGATCCAGATATCAAAAAAGTGCAGAGATTTCTGCTCCGTCTAATTTCAAAGTGGCTCACAGCAGCCAAGCAGGATTACATACAGTGGGTACGGAAAGTATTCAGACCCCCTTAAATGTTTCACTCTTTGTTATATTGCAGCCATTTGCTAAAATCATTTAAGTTAATTTTTTTT